GATTTTGTTCTTCGCGCGAAATATCGCAACCCCCGCGTATGTATATTCGACTTTGGCCTGTATTCATAGGCAGTATTCATAGTCGAATCTTATTTCAAGAGCGTCTTAAATAATGTCTTAAGATGCGAATATGGCTCTGTGATTGGTTCATGACATCTTAAGACAGTACTTAAAATGGGCTGCGTTCGGAAACTCTTCCTCTCTTTTTATCTCACTCTTGTATTTCGCTCACTCCAACGGCTATCATCTAGTAGAGTGCACACAGTGGGTGCGTTCTTTTATTCGCAACAGATATAACCCGATGCATCCGATGCATAATTTAATCGTTCCGTATATCCAGTTCCGCATATCAAGTTGCAGACTCCGTAAATCTTGACCGTTTTTTAATTTAAGTTGTAAGCAGAATCGTGCAACTGCTTGCAACTTTTAGCATCCCCATCTAAGCGGCTGCTGAAAAATTTAAGTCTGAGTTCCGAATGTGCAGGAACCTTAAGTACGAATACGGTTCTTTGGTGTGCAGAAACGGGTGGGACCTGATTGACCACGATACGATTAGACACAGATTGTAACGATTGTTCGATCTAGTAATTCACTAGATAATTCTTTTCATCGGTTGGTTGTGTCCAATCGTACCGTGGTCAATCGGGACGCTGCCTGCAGAAAGTAACGCGTTTCTTAGACAGCACATAATATTTATGATAAATATTTATTTCGAATTATTTCTTAAAAATATTATATAAATATAATATAAATATTTTATATACATGAAGGAAAAAGTATCAAAATCTTTATTGAAAATATTATTAAAATACAGACTAAATATTTTATACAATATTATATAATATTTATATAATATTTATAGTAAACGAAAAATAAATATTTGTAGTAATATTTTACAAATATATCTATTATATAAAAAATAACTATGAAACATTTTGGTAAATATTCATAAAATATTCAAATAAATCTTATAAATATTTTGTAAATATTTTGTAAATATTTTGTGCCGTCTGGGTTAATGGATTAAAAGGATAGAGAATAGTAGTAATTGATGTAATATGTTCAATAAATGTACAAAAATGTGTATTAAATATAGTCGAAATATTACAATCCTAACAAAGAAAGACAACTGCTATATAACATAGAAGTAACAAGAGTACGTGTTATGTCTGTTATATAACAGTTATATTTTGTGTTTGCTGGGATAATTGTAGTAAAAAATATGGAAAAATTAATTTATTAATGTGAGTTGTAGATGTGGATACTGTAAATGTGGGAGCTATTGGAAATTTGTTTGTAATAACAGCATCTGAAATTAATTCTGAAGACTCTTTATCCTCTAATAACTGGCCATATTCCATGTACTAAATCGATTTCAATTAATGACATTTTTTATATTATTTGATATTATTATCAGACTGCCTCTCTCTCTCTCTCACACACACAATTTTTATAAAGGCAATACTGATACATTACTGATTGGGTCCCGATGTCGGACATACGACGATCCAATAGCCAATAGGAAAATTTATTTTCTAGGGACAGTACATCACTATCTAATAATCTTGAAAAGTGCAATCTTGATGTATCCTTGAGATGTATTCAGCTACATCTGTTGCAAATAAAAGAACGCAACCTTAAATATAAGGTCGAACTATGAATACCAGCCTTAAACGTGGCTGCACGTGGCGCCACGAGTTTCTAGCAAACGATCGAGTGTCGCGTCCACAGAGGGCGTCGCGCTTTTCGCAATCACCTGCTTGTGGGTGGAAAAGTGCCCGGCGTATGGTGCGCTCGACAGTCGACAAAATGGCGTGGTTGTGGACGGTGGTGTCGTTCGCGTTTTCCCTGTTCCTGATGCCGTGTCTCATGCTACTGCTGACGATTATATTTCTTGCGTCCATCGGCAAGTCTCTCGGTGTCCGCCGACTGTACATCAAATTGCTATTAGCGCTGTTCGAGGTGAGTCGAGCTCATGCCAAATTTAAACACGGAGCGTGGATTTTTCATCTCACGACCGATCTCGAGATCGTTGTCAACCGGCGTATCGAAGGGTCGCGCTTCCTCGACGTGCTGACGTGATCATCAACAGCAAATCGCGATGCATCCTCGGCCGCACTCATCGATGCGTCTCTCTCTTCTCCCCCCTCTCTTTTTCTCTCTCAGTGCGTCTGATCGCACCTCCTTTTTCGCCGGAAGAGCCGTTTCCTGCGTCATAGGTAGAACATGCGTGCGAGGAAATGTATATGAGAATCGAATAATCTTTTATTACGGTGACGACGACGTCACACATATCACCGCATCTCGTGTTCGAATAAGAAGCGTGTCTGGCCGCGAGAATCTCGTGACGCGTCGACGAGAAAATGCAATATGAAGACGGCCAATTAGAGCAGGAATATGCGCTTATGTGCATTATGTAAGTAAATATTTGAATGCCATTGAAAACAGTATGTATGTGTGTTTATCAGAAAACGTCAGATGTTTCGGCTTCCACTTGGACAGCTCAGCAGAAGTTGCACAAAATTGGCGCAAGCGTAATGCGTCAACAGAATACGCGCGTTAACGCGAATAAGAAAGAGTTAAATATAAATTTGAGGAAACGCCGCGATGTAATTAGTCCAAATGACGAATTTCTTAATTTGCTAAAAGATGAATGAATTTATCGCTTGTATAATTATGTTAATTTGTTCGCGCAGGTGACTATATTTAAGTCTGTTCTTTTTAGTTGAATTAATATTGCACTGGAGAACTACTTTTTTTTCTTTTCTCTAATTCCAATATCGGGTTGTTTCACTGTAAAAGCCGATTTACATTGCAAAAATAGCAATAACAATGTTAATGGTCAAAAGCTAATAGAACAAAAATATTTTTAGCAAAATTATGTTACCCAAAAAGCGACTTACTAAATGTTTCTAACAAAATGTGCTTTTAATAATGTGAGAAACGTAAATGTCATCTTGACAAAGTTAGAAAAACTATTTATTACGATTAAATTACTAATAGTAATGTGTTATTAATTAAAATATTCTCAAATGTTTTCAATAAAGTTAAAAAGCTTTAAAAAGCTAATGACGTTGTTATTAGCAAATATGTACTATACAAATTTGGCAATTTTAATAGTATGATCAAGATAAAACAAAACAAGTCAAAACAAAATAATATTGTTATTAACAATATTATTAATACATCTAATTCAATTTTCTGTCAATCATTTGCTTTCAATCCTTTAGTCTGTCAAATAAGGTTGCAGAAATAATATTTTTGACAATATTGGTAACAAAGCTGTTAGTATGTTTCCAAAATAATAATTTTTAAATTTATTTTCTGCAAAATGTTGAATACAATTATTACTTTTGTTCCAATCCACTTGTTAGAAACTTATTTTGTTAAAAATAATTTTTTTCAAATTTTTAAATAAAGAAATGTTAAATAAGGAATTCTATATTTGTCAGTAATACTGCTAAAACACACGTTATTAGCGATATTACTATTAGCACAAGCTGGCCTTAAAGGCAAAAAGTGAAACTCAATTGAACTAAGAATAAAAAAGAGACCTCTTCTGTAAACTTTGTACTCATTCGTATAGCAACTCACTTTGTAGCATCGCCGTCGATGGACTTTTGGCCATGAAACGTGGATGAAACAATTTTATTAATATCACTCTGACTGGCTGTACTCTTAAATGGGATAAAAATTGGTACGGAGGGAATTTCCGGTTTCCTATGATTGATTTGTGATCGTGTACTATCTCGAACACGAACGGTAATTGACCGGAGATAAGTAAGCAGTCGTGATTGGAGATGCGCATTGAGTAACTGTAGTTTTAAATGGAACATTTCTTATATCGTATTACGGCATACTCGTACGTGACAATATTTGTCGAATTTCAATTTATTCATTCAACTATTTATTTGTTGTAATCTTAAGAAAGTAACTAACTTACGTGAATAACTTATTTATACTGAGTTTAAAACCTGATCTACAATATGCTCTTTACGTTCTGTTTTTATCTTCTGTCTTTTTCTAGCTTAAGCTTGATCTGCAATATGTTATTTGCTTCCTGTTTCTTTTTCCTTATCTCTTTCTGACTTACACCTTAAGTCTTAAACTAAAAGACAGAGAACAAGAAAGAGAAAGCAAAGAGCATATTGTAGATTAGGCTTAAGCTTAAAGTTTAAGGTTTGAGTCAGAAAGAGATAAAGAGACGTCTATTAAACTGGCATAACCACTTTAGCACAATCAAACACAACTGGTACACAAATTTAGTGCTCTTTTGTTGCTCTATTCCCGATTTTGTTGCTCCAGCCGTCTCGGAAAAGACAATGGCTGTACTACCTTAGAATAAAGTTAGCACAGCCACTCGCAAAAAATGAAACAACAAAGGCAGATTCTTTTAGTGTTAATTTGTTGCTCTATTTTAATTATTATAATTTTTTGCTAGGAAAATGCCTGTCATGTAACTGGGGGGGCCTATGCCTCCCAGACCCTCTGCACCGCGACGAGAGGGGGTCCAGTCTTTTGTGAGAAATTCTCACTCTTTAGCTTAAGTATAACAGACTGGGCCCCCCCCCCCCCGCCGCGGTGCGGGGGGTCTGGGGGGCTACGCTTCCCAGTTACACGGCTAAGGGCAGACACCTACATCCCTAGCTGACCCTTCCACTTAATGCAAAATGAACGCAGACGATATATAATAATGCGCTATTTATGTGCTCTTCGAAAATGAAACGCAAAAATTTTGCGCTCTTTTAGTTACGATAAAATAAAATTTTTTTAGTGGGAGGGCTAGGTGGGCACCCCCCCTCCACTTATAAATAATTACTTTTTCAGAAAAAAAATAGGTAGGAATTATATGTTAATTATGCGCTCTTAAATTCAAGGAAATTTGATTTTTGCGCTGCAACCCTTAAAGCCTGATCTACAATATGCTCTTTGCTTCTTGCTTCTTTCTCTTTATCTCTTTCTGATTCAAACCTTAAGCTTTAAAAAAAGACCAGAAAAAGATAGAAGACAAGAAACAGAACGCAAAGAACATATTGTAGATCAGGCTTAAGGGACTTCTCCCTTGACGCGAAAAACATAATCGCCATAAAATTTCTTTAAAACGAAAGAGATCATTAAATAAATTATGTACGATGAATCTACGATTTATGCGCTCTTATATCCAGACAATTTAGATTTTTGCACTGCAACTCTTAAGGGACTTTTCTCTTGACACTTAAACATAATCGCCAGAAAACTTCTTAAAAATGAAAAAGGCCTGGATATAAAAGCGCATAAATCGTAGATTCATCATATATAATTGGTTTAGCGATTTTTTTTATTTTTAAGAAGTTTTCTGGCGATTATGTTTACCGCGTTAAGAGAGAAGTCCCTTAAGGGTTACAGCACAAAAATCTAAATTTTCTGGATATAAGAGCGCATAAATCGTAGATTCATCGTACATAATTGATTAAACGATCTCTTTCGCTTTAAAGGAATTTTATGGCGATTATGTTTTTCGCGTCAAGAGAGAAGTCCCTTAAGGGTTTCAGCGCAAAAATCGAATTTGCCTGAATGTAAGAGCGTATAATTAGCGCATAATTCCTACTTATTTGTTTTGCTGAAAAAGTAATTATTTATAAGAGAGGGAGCTAACTGACAGCCAACTTAGCCTTCCACTAAAAAAATTTTATTTTATCGTAACTAAAAAAGCGCAAAATTTTTGCGTTTCATTTTCGAAGAGCGCATAAATAACGCATTATTATATATCGTTCATTTTGCATTAAGTGAGGCCAGCTAGGCGGACGTCAGACACCTTTCTAGCTTTTCAAAACAAATTCGATGTTCTTGTGTTCAAAAATTACACGCCTTATAAGTTAGCGGAACAAAGTCAGCAGAATCAATTCTAACTAATGTTATTATTTGTTGCTCATTTGTTGCTAAAAAGTTGCCAAAGAAAACAATTTGTTGCTCTGTTAGTTTTTTTTTAAACGATGTTCCGCTAAAGGAAGATTAGTTAGCGGAACAGTATGTAAATAACAACGAAACAATAAAAAAATCGAATATTATAGTAGCATAGGAATTTGTTGCTAATTAGTTGCTCACAATACGCTAGTTCCGAATATTTTGCTCCGCTATTTTTTTGTTTTTATAATGTTCCGCTAAAAGAAGATGAACAGTAAACTACGAGAAAAAAATTTGTTGTTCGGTTGAATTTGATACTGTCGTGTTGCCTAAATTTATCACTCTGAAAATACCCAAGTTATGAATTTGTTGCTCGCCTAATATGTTTAAATAATTGAGGAGAAGTTACCAGCTTAGATATATGTTATATTAACATATTTAAATATATTAGGCAAGCAATAAATTCGTAACTTGGATATTTTCATAGCAACAAATTCAGGCAACATACCAGTATTAAATTCGACTGAGCAACAAATTTTTTTCTTATTAGTTTACTCTTCATCTTCTTTTAGCAGAACATAAAAAAAAATAGCGGAGCAATATATTCGGGACTAGCGTATTTTATGAGTAACTAATTAGCAATAAATTCTTATACACTGAGAGAAAAATGTATGATACTTGGAACTATTGGCAATATAATGACAGTAAAAAGATTATAGTTAGAAATATTATTTTTATAGTAAATTTCAGCATAATGTTTGTAATATTTACAATATAAGCATAATATAACTGACCCATGTAAAACTTTTACCAAGAATTATAATCATTTGAAATAAAAAATATAATAAGATTGCAAATATTGAATGGTAAGAGAAATTAAGTATATTTTATATAGTCAATACAATTGGAATATTTGGAAAATATAGGTACCTGTAACTATATTCCCAAAGCGTGCTTTACTATATACATAGAGTAATAAGACTATAAATGTTTTAATTCTGCTATATCTTTATGTTTAGATGAACTATAAATATATGTTTGAGACCAAAACGAACTATAAAATATAGTAAGATTATAGTTATTCCAACTATTTTTTTCTCTCAGTGT